AACACCCAGTCTGGAGCCAAAACTAGATCGGTCTTCAAATGGGATTGATGGCCTCAGACAGCTTCATTTACTGTTTCAATTGTCAGACTGTCGTGGTGTGTATTTAAGAAATAAAAGCTGGTAGTCGATGTCAAAGAAAAACAATCTCTTCAAAACGAGGGAAGGGTGGTTCACCCTGTGTGTTGTCGGTGCTCCTTTCGATACTTCTAGCAGTCAATCAAGTGTTCAGCACAGTGGCAGCCTGAGCTGTACCAGTGCAACAGGCAATCACCAGAAGCCTTATGATTTCCCTGCCCCTCCTAGTTTCTCTCGTTTCCCCCTGCTTCTTGCCTTTCCAGTTGCCCTTTACCCAAGCTGTCTCACTATGCAAGCAGAATAGGGTCCATGGGCTAGCCCCTCCTGAACTCACTGGTTTCACTATTAGAACTAACGTGTAGGGCATTGAAATGCTCCCTTAACTGTACCTCTGCCAGTGTTCTGGAAATTCTCAAATTGGGCCCATTCTTTTGGATGTAGGTATTTCTGGCCACAACCATGCGTTCTCTGAGAGAAATAACACATAAAGCCATCTAAGTGCATGTATCAGCATGAGCCAAGCAGCCATTGCCAAGCAGAGCGCAGAACCAGCAGAAATGGGTTGCAGTGCAGGTGCATTTGATCAAGAAGAGAGGGTCTGGAAGTGGCTGAAACATGACTTCCCCTTTCTGGGGAGCAGGTGGGCTGGTGGAGATGGTGCAGCGCTAACATGTTAGACCAGCGATTTTCCACCAGTGCACCACAAGAATCTGTAGACCATGCAATACCTGACTGTTTAGTCAGGGGCACTAACCTCTTTTCCCTCAGTGTGTCAAATAAAAAATGACAACAGCCAACACAACGATAGGCATCCAGAGTGAATGAATCAAAATTATGCCAATTTTTTTGTCATATCTGAAAATATACTTTTTGGTGTGCTGCACAATTTTAGTAATTAGTTGATGTGTGCCATGAGAAGAAAATGGTTGAAAATTGCTGTGTTAGATTCTAGATAACGAGACAGTAAAGAGGAACCAAAATGGAGAACAGGAGGAAAAAGCATGTGGTCGCTGCTTTCAAGCCCCCTTGCTCCATGATTTTACCTGGTTCTGGTGATCATTGGCTTGTGGTGGCTTCAGCTGAGAGATCACTCAGAATAGGTTTCATTGGCTGCCCGATAACTAGTGAATTATTAATGAAGTGGCCCTCTAATTTGGATTCTTTTCAAAGCAACGCAGGCATGTTCTTCAGGGATAAGTCAGGTGGACCCCTGTGCAGAAGGAGACCTACATGACATTCGGATAGTAGAAAAATTACAGCCTAAGAAATGGAGTATTGACCTTTGATCATAGTTCAGTGACAGTGATGTTTATTCCTGTCCACTTTAGGCCTTAGATTCTGCAATTTAAATTTGCTGCCACCAGGGGGTGACTGTGTGCATGTGGTTTTGTGGAATTTCAAGTAGCAATCTTTCTAGGTTGTAATAGTATCTTAACTTGGTATCACAATTATCGTCAGACTGGTGCTCCATTGTCTGAACTTGGGATGTCTCGGTGTCCAAGCTGTGACTGGGTTTTCAGTTTAGAGAGGCACTTCTATTACTGCCTTCTTCTTTATATCAGTTTTGAAGAGAAGCCGTAGCATGTTAGAGCTGGAAGAGATTTTAGACACAAGCGAGAGGAACCACACACGTACACACACACTTGCTTCATTTTAAATGTGAAGTAATTGAAGTAAAGTAGTTTTCCCCTGGTCACGCAACTAGTCAGACAAGGGCAGAATCAAAATTTATCCTCAGTAAATATCAGTTCTATTTGAGAACAACTTTTTCTCTGGGGTTTCCGATTGTTTTGTTTACAAAAGGGAAAATAGAGAAAGATGTCACTGACCTTTTTGTCTCTAGTGCATCCGCCTCCTTCCCTACTTCTGAGTCAAATTCTGTTCTACAACCAGCAGTTTGGATGTTTCGTTCTCTTGGAGATTGGCCTTCCTTTCCTTGCCGGTCTGCGAACCCCTGGGCTGAGCTGCATCTGGTCTTATACTTCGTTTATCTCTTAGCTAGTTTTCCTCCGCAGTAGGTTTTAACTCTGCCTTGGACAAGGGTTTCTTTATACAATACAGGAACTCTGAGAAGTCGGTTTCAATTCATAATCAAAGAATATTTGTAGGGAGGACACATATTTCTGGTACTGACTTCAGAGGACAGTGTGTATTCTCAGATGTCCCTGGTCCTTTTGTTGATAACTGTGCCACCTCATTTTGGGGGCAGTTTTTAATCTGCGACTTTCCCTGCAATGTAACTGCACGACCTCCGGGGGGAGGGAGTATCGTGAGTCGCGGTGGATTTCCTTAGAAAGGAATGATGCCTTCTTCCCTAGACCTACGCCAGAGGCGGTCAAGTTTTCATTAAGGGGTGGGGAGGACGTCCCAGTGGTGAAGCCATTAACATAGCTTAAGGGTGGTACTGAGAACAAACTTATCTTAAATGAAATAAAATCCTCAAGATACCTAAAAGCCTCTTTTCTATCTCATTCTTGTATCGGTGAGTGCCAGACTTATTCTAATCAGTCTTCAGTCTCATTGCCTATGCTCCATTGAGACGTCAAGTTTATTTTTCTTCTCTTAAATTACCTGCTCCGTATACACAATTTGCATCTCTCATCACATCTCTGTTGCTCCTTCCTTCCTTCAAAATATCTGAACTTGCCAGTGTCTAGGCTTTCCTTAGACATCCTAGGACAAAGCAGCAAAAACAGGAAGGCCCCGCTCAACCTCGCATATTGAAGGACCAAATCCATGGTTGATCTTTTACCAAATTCCAATTTTCCCTCTGCCTGCTGGCGGGAGCTAGAGATGGCTTGCATAAAAACATCTTTTAAACATGATGATATCCAGCATTTACTATATGCCAGGCACTGTTGCTAAGTGATAAATAGATAGATTTATTTGTGTGTGTATATACAAACAGACATACAACACACATATTTGTATATATCAACTTAGTCATCTTTACAGCTTTGTGAGGTTAAGCACTGTTATTATCCCCATTATATTGATAAGGAAAACTGAGGTACAGAGGTTATATAGCTAATAAATAATAGAACTAGAGCTTGAAGCTTTTAACTACTATACTGTATTGCTTCTGTATACAATATTTTTTCAGAGAATTCATTACCTTTTACCCAAGGACTTCAGCACAATGGGAAAATGGTTTTGCTTTCTAAGTAGAATGACAGCCAGAAAGTATAAAGTAGCATTAAACTACAGTGACCAATATACTGAACTTCCTGATTTGAAATGAGTACATTCACACTTGTGGGAATATGTACCCCAGCTTATGTGGTCTGACAAACTTTTGTGCTTTTATAATAAAAAGCTTATCTGTAAAGAAAATAAACTGAATTACAAGAAAATTGCAATCTGCTGAATGATGGGAACACTGAATAATAATTTGGTTACAGGTGTCATCGCAATGCTGCAGGCTTATTAATAAGGCTGTATGTTTGTTTAAAGCATTAATAATAAGTAAATCATTCCATCTTCATAATCTCTGAAGCAAGCAGGTGGTTCTTATTCGTCCCATTTGGTAGGTTAGGAAACTGAGTCTCAGAGAGGCTTTCACCAGTCTAAGAAGGACATTCATTCTGCACCTCCAGGGCTCATTTGTTGGGTTACCTCAACCTCCTCTGCCACATCTGGGGCCTCTGCTGACTAAAGAACAAATAATCACTTGTCTGAAATCTAAAGACTGTTTTTTTCTCTCCTTATTATTTCTTTTCTCACCCCTTATTACAAAGGCTGTTTCATGATTTACCATACTAAACCAAATAGATAAAATAATCTCAAGGTGGATAGTTACTCATGTTTTTAACTTACAGAATTTTAGAACCAGAAAGTAAGTAGCAATTTTATTTTATGCTTTCCCCAACCTATTTTGTACATGAAGCTATGCTGATAAAAGGGTGTAGTGATTTTACACAAAGGCACCCCAAATTACGGGAAGAGTAGGAGCCAAAATCCGTACCTTCTGACTCCTTCTATTAGTTTTCTCTCTCTGCTGGGTATTTCCCTGGTAAAGCCCTGAACTTATCTTTCTTGCTAGCCAGGTGAAGGTTCCTTGTTTCTAAGCAAACATCAGACTCATCTTTCTTCCTTCCTCTAGAAAGTGCCCGGCGAGGGTAGTTGGAAGTGGGGTACTGTGACTGGCCACTGAGGACCTAGTTTTATCAACAGCAATGAGGAAAAGCTATCAATAAAGGAGTTTTCAGTCATTCAGCGAAACTCTTCATCACTTTTGGTGCTTATTCTGTTCAAAACACTACACTTAGCTATTTCAAAGTTGTCTGACTAGTAATGTCATCCTGTGTTCATCATTTCAAATATCATGGGGGAAATGTGCCCATACTGGTTCAGATAAACTACATACTTAGCATTCAGATTTCCAACCAGCCTAGCAATCCTACAAAGAACAAAATGATTTAACATAGCATATATTTCCTTAATTAATCTTCATTTGATTCTGATTGAACATCACATTCTTTTTTACTTTCTTGCAAAATGATGCTAAGTTTCTAGGAATTTGACATCTGGCTGCTCAGAGAAAGTATGCAAAGCCCTCCCTGTCCTCCTTTCTGAAAGATAAAATAATACTCGTTCATCTAAGCCTTCTGTTCTTCCCACTCTCTCAAAGATGAGTGATCTCCCTGCTCTAAGATTACAAGTTTCCCTGAACCACAAAGAAGCCAAGCCAAAGGTGCTTCCCATCCTTAGGGAATGCAACACTGATGAAATAAACTTAACAAAGATGGATAATAAATAAAAATATAGAAATACAGACTGACCCATAAGCTGCCGATGAGAAGGCTAGGCAGACATTGCGCTGACTGGTTGAAGGTAGGTTGCATGAACCCCAGCCAGACCTTCCCCTGCCCCAGCCCCGGTCTCCCCCATCTGCCCTGAGTGGAGTCTCTGCTGTCTCCCCGCAGTTGTGGACATGGATGGAAGACCTGCAGAAGGAGATGCTGGAAGACGTCTGTGCAGACTCGGTGGACGCGGTCCAGGAACTGATCAAGCAGTTCCAGCAGCAGCAGACTGCCACTCTAGATGCCACACTCAACGTCATCAAGGAAGGCGAAGACCTTATCCAGCAGCTCAGGTCAGCGCCTCCCTCCCTGGGGGAGCCCAGCGAGGCCAGGTCAGCATGGGCAGTGCTTTCCAGTGTGAAATGCCTCGGACTGGACGCGAGATAAGTCATGTCCTGGTCTTGGCTGAACCACAGCCAGCTGTGTGGTCTTGTGTGATCTTCAGTTCCTCCATGTGTCAGTTATAAAAATGCCTGTACCATACTCAACTCGAGTTTGAAATGCAAAAGTAAGCAGAAAAGTTCTAATGTTCCAAAGCATTATTTATCATTCATGATGTTATTCACCAATCAATAAATAACATAATCACAACAAAAATTAACAATGAACAGAAAAATAAATAATATCTTCATGAAGAATTATAGCCTATTTAGTCATATGGAGAAAGGCCATTATGGAATATAATGTTCTTTGGCATCTGATCTCAGGCTGAACTCCGAACTCCATTGCCCCAGTTGGCAAAATGGTTAGCTTTGGCCCGTGAGAATGCAGAGTGTGTGATGTCCCCCTGTTCTTCATTACACACTTACGACTTTTCCACCATTCCTTGCTGCCTAGAAAATGAAAATCCTTCTGCACCAGCATAAACAAACATAACTAATGAGGGAATTCCTGTCTAAAACCTTATATTCATCTAGAATCATCCACACCATTGCCTCCTTTCTGTTGGTATTAATATCCAGTCTCCTGTTCCCGTCAAGGGCACTGACTCCTCAGAGAAAGTCTCACGAGGCCTTGAGCAGGCCCTCGGCAGCCAGCCCGGTGCCCAGGTGCTGTCTAAATAGGATCTGATGGTGCTAATGATGCCTGCCCACGGGGACTTGTTCTCATCCCAAATCACTCAGTGTTGGGACCCCTGGCAGCTCTGGACAGAAATAATCTCATCAACAAGTCTCACGCAAACCCTGGAGCCTGGGGGAATTACTTCAGTTGAGAGGGCTTTTCCCCTTCATATCAGTTTTAATTAAATAAACAATGAGAACTTACCTTTCAATGGCCCAGGCATGTCTTTCTGTTGGAAACTAATTATTTTAGTCTAAATATGCACATGAGATGCTCTGAATCTTCCTGTTGCATACTAACAAGACAGCCTCTTTCCCCTGGTCCCCCGATTCATCTTCATGAATATGTAACATGTGACAATTTTGTCTGCCTATCTAGGAAACTCCACCGTTATTTTTTTTCTAAATAAAATTCCAAATAGTGAGCAGTCACTTAACCTCTCTGGGTCTCAGCTGCCTCACCCGTGTAATTAGGGGCTCGCTCTAGATCTGCCAGCTCTGGAATTTTGTGATGGCTTATGTTTTCTCTCCAAATACTTTCCACAAGCCTCTGGGACTGGGTCTATGAAGATGCTGCTTGCCCTTAGCAACTGCCAGCCTTGCACAGGGCTCAAAGGCAGAAGCTGCTCAGAATCTCTGAGCGAAGGCAGTGATGAGGCTGATGCCAGTTCCACAAGTTTAGGTTCCATGGATTTCAGAGAGGACCATAGGTCTGTGCCCAAAACCCACTGATGACCACTGTTTCCCTCCTGTCCTGACTCTAGCCTGTGCCCTCCTCCCTGATAGCAAGACCAGTCAAAGAGAAAAAGAAGTAACTGTGCCCAGGGGACCTTGGCAGGGTACCTTCCACACATCAGGGCACACATCTCCTCAATGTCTGGCTTCCCGTCATCTCTGTCACTCCTAGTGAGTGTGACACTGACATGGGTGCTGTGAAACATGCTCCGAAATTATTCTCTTCCTTCTGGAAGATGTGTGATGGAGAAAGACTGAGAGAAGCAATCAGAAAAACAATCATATCCTCCCCAAAGCAAAGTCCTCAACTAATGCATAATGCCTAGTGTTGACTACATCTTCTCTGTGCTTCATGATTGGGGGTCCTGGCCATGGTGGGGTTTCATGCCCAAATAGGCCAGGGTTAGGAGGTAGAATTGGGAGCTCCCTGAATGATAGAAGGAGATGCTCTTGACATACTGGCTCATGCTCCCTTCAGAAACAACCTGAGCTCAGATACCATTGCTTCTGAGATGAACACAGGCCAGCTAAAAGGACTGGTTCTCAGAAAGCTCGCTGATGTGAGGATGCAAAACTAATGATCTCCCTCTTGTCCTCTGACATCTTAAATCATATAAGAAGTCAAGATGTGACAAGATAGTGAATGTGCCCACTTAGTTCAAGTTTTAGGACTTGAGCTTACTCAGGACTCTATAGAACGTTAACTTCTTAACCCCCAGGTTTCCTATTATAATTATCCCTTTGGAGGCCTCACCACCACCTCATTTCTGAGCAGGTCAGTATGTTTATCTCTTGGTTCCCAGTACAACGTGTCACCTTCCCCCTGGTACTTTGGTGTAGACTCTCCCTGTCAGAGCATACCCTGCCCCCATCATCCTGGCCGGATTCATCCTTTCTTCTAACGTGGGCAGACACATTCAGAACTCATTGTCTTTGAAACCTTGTTGCTGCCCCAGACTCTTGTGCCCTACCCTGTACTCTGCACAATTGGGCTCATGCCCCAGTCAACACTTGAGGTTTTTCTTGTGTCCTTTCAGGATTAATAAGCATTCGTGTGGCACGTTCCCGGTCACAGAGCACATCCACACACACTCTTACTTAACAGCAAACTGAAGTGAGCAGGGCAGGGATTATTAAGTCTAGTTTACAGGAGGCAGCTGAGGCTGGGGGAGGTCATTTCCCAGGGCCATCAGCCCACGTACAGCAGGGTGGGGACTTAATCTAGGCTTACAGCCTCTAGGTCCCATGCTTTTCTATCTGCAGCTTGATGCCTGTGTAATCACATTAGCCTATAACTCTGGCATAGTTTTATAAAGTGGATGAATAATTTTAGTACCATATCTTAGTTTAACAATCCTTTGAAGTAAAACTAGAAAGAGTTTTTTATTATATGTCTTCAATCTGTCTACTCTTACGCATTGTGTTTAATGTGTCTACTCTTACGCATGTGTATGTGTGTATTAAAACTCTACGTATCTGCATGGAACCGTTCCAAAGCAATATTTTGTGCTTTGTAGAGCCCATCCCTCTACAGTATCTTATTTGATCCTTTTGACAATTCTGTCTAAGGAATAGGAGAGCAGCCAGTCTTGCAGCTACTGTGCTGTGAACCCCAAAGAGGATACATGCCTATCTCCGCTTCACCCACTAAGCAGATAGTGCCTGGCTCACACGCAGTAGGACTATGATAGATGCCTGTCAGTTGAGTGATTCAACTGAGTCATATCCACCTTGTTCAGAAGAGGAAGGTCCCCTGCTCCTCTACCGCTTTTAACATGGCAAGGCCCCTCCCTTCTTTTCTCCCGCTCTGCCACAGGGACTCAGCCGTATCCAACAACAAGACACCCCACAGTAGCTCCATCAGCCACATCGAGTCGGTCCTGCAGCAGCTGGACGATGCCCAGGTGCAGATGGAAGAGCTCTTCCACGAGCGGAAGATCAAGCTGGACATCTTCCTGCAGCTGCGCATCTTCGAGCAGTACACCATTGAGGTAGAGATGGCGGAGGGGAGTGCTGGGGAGGCCTGCAGCATGGGCCGCTGCCTGGCCAAGGGGGCTGCCCCAGGGTCTGGGAAGGGGAAATTGAGGACGGCTTAAGGATACGTTTATAGAAATCTATAAATTCACATTCCACCTTCTGATATTCCTCCATCCCTCTCACTTTCACAGCCAAGTAGAGTTTCTCTGTTTTACTGTCTGTCTAGGGATAACTTCAACGAGATGCTTTTTGTTGGTATGCTTTGGACTCTTGGTATTTTGGTTCCTGAGAGACCATGGAGTTGGCTCTTTGGGCACCAGGTAGGGTCCTTGAATTCTGTATCTTCAAGGGTAGGTAGGTGTTAAAATTAGGTCTCCTCTGCTGGTGACTATAGACCAGGGATTAGATGACATCACACAGCAGCCCGGAAGTCAGAAGCCACAGGAAGGAAGACCTGTATGTATCCTGAGTTTGCTTTCTGCTTATTAAGAAAGTAAGTCTGTGCCCTGGCTAGTGTGGCTCCCTTGCAGTGGCTTATGTCGTCCTGTAAACAAAAAGGTCACGGGTTCGATTCCAGTCAGGGCACATGCCTGGGTATCGGGTTCAGTTCCTGTTTGGGGCACGTACAAGGGGCAACCGATCGCTAGTTCTTTCTCTCATAGTTGTTTCTCTTCCTCTTCTAAAATCAATAAGCATATCCTCTAAAAAAAGAAGAAAGTCTGTGATAAGGCCATTTGGTGGTCATGTCATAGCCTCCTCCATTCTGAAAAGGTCAGAATGGAGAGTTTGGGTATAATTATGTCCCCTTTGTGACCCCTGTGAATAATGTCTGCCCCAAATAGTATCCCTTTTATTATTTTTTGCGTTGAAACTTTAACTAACGCCAGGGCAGTAGGGTGTCTGGGCTGTGAAGAATATCAGACACTTAGCTGCCTTGTTTTTCTCAGGAATTGCCAAGGGTTACATTAAAAGCACTGTCCTCCCTTTGCTCCCAGCCAGTGTGGTATGAGAGAAATCCACTTCTCTATCCACTGTTTTAAAACTTCGTCTTGCATTTCAACCATCTTCTCTGAGTTGGGACTTATCTTTCCAACTATAACCTTGGAAACTTTTGGAACTGGTTTGGAATGGAAATGTCTTTATTTTTTAATGTTGGAAGCTCCAATATCCCAATCCCACACAGGACCAGAAAACTCTCCTGGCGACAGCTGCCCTTTGTTTCAGTCCTGAGACCAAAAATATTTACATTTAGAATCCAAACTGTGAGAGAAAAGCAATCCTTCAGGTCGCTTCCTCTCAGATGCCCTTTCTCTCATTGCACACCTCTCTCTACACAGCTTCCCTGGAAGCCACCACAGTTTCTTGCTTCAAGATTTCATGTTCTAAAAGGTTCCTTCTGGACAGTTTATGGGACAGAGGGAAAAAGATAAGTCTAGATATGACTATCCTTCTAACTTATTCCATAAATTTAGGTGGGTTGATTTATATTTTATTATTTTTAGTTTATTTTGAGTCTATACTCAAAGGATTTCAGGTGTCAAGTAGTAATAAACATATATTGAAAGAACACTTTAAATGTCAGTGGAAAATTAAAGATATTGGCATGCAGCAAAGAATGAATATGGTGGGTTTTATTGAGGCAGGGCAACAAAGGCAATAAAGGAAGGCCAGAGGGGCTGCGAGTTATTGTTCTTTGGTAATTGGGAGTAAAACTCACAGAAGTAAATAGAGGTTACATTCAATGGCAGTGATGTAGGCCCCAGGCGCTCCCACCACCCTGCCTCAGCTCCACCTCGCCCACAGAGCGTGCACACATCCAGAGGGAAATTACGTTAGCTGGTGAGTTTGCTGTTGTATTCTTTATTTACTCTCCTGTCATTCCGGGTCCATGTAAAAGAGTGACTAGGGGAAGGAAACAATCTGGGAGTTGGGTGTTTAAACGTTATTTCATTAGGTGGCTGTGGTTTGGAGGTCAGGGTTGCCGGCTCATTTCCGGAATGTGACCGTTAGCTTCGCTTTGCTGGTGGACTGCGCCCCTGGCGGCAGCAGCTGGGGGCACCACTAGGGCGTGTGTGCTTGCAGTGACTCTGGGAAATCCATGTTCGGTTGTGAACAAGAATCCAAAGTATATGTTAGAAAAATCCTTTAAAAAAAGAAAGCTAACTGTACATCAAATGGATCTTACTTAAATGTTGCAATAGGTGAAATTGATATTTAAATTGTGAATTTGCACTTTTTAGCTTTTGTCTACAAAAATTCCCCTCTCACCCTGATTTCTGGACAATAACACGGGCCGCTGATTATGGATACAGTAGAGAAAAAGTGGGGGGAATGTGTGAGGGTCTCATAAAATAAGCAAGATAAAAATAGCAATTCGGCCGAGCACACTCCGGTTTAGGCAGTGAACGGGTCTCGTTCCTTGTTCTGGGTGTGGCCAAACCTTGAGGAAATGCTCCATTTCATCTTAGATTAAAATGGAAATCTTGCCAAACCTATGGAAAAGTTCTGCTTCGAGTCAGAGTGTCAGAAGTTATTTTTAAGGGTGATGCGATTATTTCAAATTCCAGCTAGTGTTTCACTGTGGGGTGAAGAGCAAACATCTAGAGAAGTTTCAGAATGTGAAGCTGAGGGTGGTTCAGTAAGCAGAGACGTGTGAGAGCTGACATAAGGCAGGCAGGCGCTGTCTCCGCAGGGCATAGGGCCATGGGCTTCGTCCCTGAAGGAAGGAGTCTGGCGGACATATTTGGAATTCTTGGGGATTACCGAAAACCAGGGCAGGCCTGCTCCCCGGACATCTGGAGGTCTGAGCATGGCTCCTCAACCGTATCACTGATAGCTGAAATGGGCTAATTAACTCAAGAATTAAGATAATATGGGATTGCTTCTGCAGTTTCCTCTTACTGAGTAAGAATGGTGTGTGTGACTCCCACAATGAAACCTGGGACGAGGCCGTGGGCTACCCCTCAGTGAGAGTGAATTTATCCCAAATGGATTAGGTGGCTGTTCAACACCCAGCACTGCGGCTGCATTCCTGACACACATTTTCAGATGCCCTGGAGACTAGACAAAGTGACCTATACATGTTCTATGAAACATTTTCCTGTAAGGTCAGCCTCCTCTTTGAGAAACATTTTACATAAAATTGGTTGTGATAGCCCTGACCAGTGTGGCTCAGTTCGTTAGGCATCCTTACACAAAGCAAAAGGTCGCCAGTTCAATTCCCAGTCACGGCACATGCCTAGGTTACGGGTTCAGTCCCCGGTGGGGGCACGTAAGGGAGGTGACCTATCAATGTTTCTCTTTCACATCAATGTTTCTCTCCCTGTCATTCTCCCTCCCTTCCCCTCTCTCTAAAAATAAGTAAATAAAAATCTTAAAAAAACAGTTATGATAAAAGAAATGCTTCACCAAATGCAAATAATGTTTATTTTGTAATGGTAGGAATATAGATAATTTTATCTTGTTTTTGGTGCTCCCATACATCTTTTCTACAATTAATCAGAATGATTAGAAAGAAATATAGTTTTAGAAGCAAGAACAGTCCCATAGCTTCCCAACTCTTTTGGTTATGCACCCTGTCAGTATAATAATTTTGAACTTGCAACCTCCTGTGTGTGTGTGTATTCAGACACACACACACACATAAGTTGTATTGATTATACATGTTTTACCATCACTAACTAATAATCTCAAAATTCAATGTGCCCTTAGGGTGAAGATTCACTTTTTTATTACAAGTTGTGGTTCCATACTTCAAATAATCTTATGGATCATTTCCAGTTATTCTTTTGGCCTGTTTTCTTGACAGATCTGATGAGATTGTCACTGTTTCTTTACCCCATAATGTGGCTGACAGAGAGTTCAGGGTTCTCTTGTGCTTTCTTGAGTAGTATTATCTTCAGTCTGCAGTCTTGGAGGAACCTTGTTAAGCCATATATGTTATTGTGAAGGTTTAGTTAAAACTAGATAATAGGTAAATCCATTCAACTGGGCACACGAGAAGGGCGATATTGGAAATAGGACGAAAGCAGCCGAACAAATGTGCCACAGTCAGCCCTCTGCACTGGGTGCTCCCATCAACCCTGATGGGCCCTCTCATACTGTACTGTCGCCGTGTGGTCTGACAGTGGAAGTTTAGGGGCACCTCCTCTCTTTTGGTTTGATCTAATATGTATGCATGTAATATAATATATATACATATGTACACATATTTATAGACAGAGTTTTTCTCTCTTTTATCAATGGATAATCTTGAGCACCCCGTGGGTGGGCACACCCGTGTTGGAGAACACTAGAAATGACACCAAGAAAGATACTCTCAACAAGGGACTTTATGAGAAATGGGTCACAGTTATGATTTTTTTAAAATCTCTGACTCTATAACAACCAAAGCTTGCTCAATGTGCCTGAAAATGAATCTGTGCAATTAACCTAAGGAATGGAATAGGCAACTCTAAATTTGTGGGATCCATATTAGGGCAAGTTGGGGCCAGGCTGAAGCTGGGACACGATGGCCTTCAGGAAAGAAAATGCCGCCTACAGGAGAGAAAACTGATCGTGATGTACTGGTGGTCTCAACTCTAATTGGTTGTACGCGGAGGCCCTTAGCATTTTATATTTGAAAGAAATCAGTCAACCTTTTACCTGAGAGAAGTTCAACTCAATAGACATTTAGTGAGTGCCTACTATGTGCCACAAACTCTTTGGGGCACTGAGGATACAGTCCCTGGCATTAGGGGGCTAGTTGGGAAGAAACACAGAAACAGAATGGTCATACTAGGTGATAACACAGTTTGATGAGAACACAAAGGCAGGAATGCCTACCTTTGTCAGGCTGCTCCCGGAAGGTTTCCCTGTGAGCGCTCCCCTGAGCATTCTGGAGGATGCCGCCTCCACACAATATTTCCAGAGCCCGGAAGCAGGGGTAGGGAGGGGGGAAGAGACAAGAGGGAGCTCAAGATTTCTTTACCTTTCTACACTTTGGTCCTGGATCCGCCCTCTGGGAACACAGGAC